TCCAACAGGAGTATCTAGAATCAATGGATATTTATGCAGCTCACCTTGCCTTTCTTTTTAATTTTATCTGCAATGTGCCCAGTTATTGCGATGATAATCTGCGATGTATGGTATTTTTTTGCGGTGGTTCTTAGAGACACCTTCATAATAGCACCCAGATATAATGGTGAATACACCTTTATAAAGATCGATCGCTGTTCGAAAAAATAAAATTCTTTGTAAGGGTGCCTTGGCATAAAGGCATGTGAACCTTACAAAAATCAATCTGTAATTTTGAAAAATGCAACCTCTGTAAGGATACGGACAATTTAAGGCAGGTCTCTTTATGCGAATGGGGTTTTCATTTGCATTGCAGATTAATTAATTAATGATGCAGGGGATGGAATTAATTTTCGGCACTTTTGTGAAAAACAAGATCTTTCTACGGAAACGCTCGTCACACATTTCTCAAAGGGTACATTTATACAAAGTCCAGTGAAGTGAATTTGCATAAAGGTGCCGAAGATTTATTTGATCCTTCGCTTAATTAATTAGTCAGCAGAGGCGTAGCTAGGGTTTTCGGCGCCCGGGGACAACTGAAGATTTTGCGCCCCTTTCTCTGTGTCAAGAACGGAAAACATTTCATTCTAAAATTTCGTAACATCAATTTCGCGCCCCCTGAATTCTGCGCCCGGGGATAGATGTCCTCCCTTGCCCCACCCTAGCTACTCCACTGCTAGTCAGTAATGAAAAAAAAATTGAACTTACATAAGTATGCACTTTTATGAAGAGTGCTTTTCTGAAGTTAGAAAATGATACTCATCAGGGACGCTCGTCTTCAAGGCAGGCGCATTTCTAACAAGATTTCTTTAGGTAACAAGGATTATCAAACAACAACGATTTGCACAGGTGTGCAAGTATCTTTATGATGCAGGGCCGTTCCTAGTGAAGGTGGAGAGAGCGTAAAAGTAAAAGTAAGCGGGCTTCGAAAATCAGGGGCGGCCGGACTTCCGCGATACCTAAATATTTCAAATTCATTGTAAATACTTGTCATATTATGTCAGTACTTGTTATACAATGTGTCATATGTAAGTACTTAGTGAGTATGAAATATAAATTTTATTAATCATTGAGCATTTTGTTTTTAAATTTGGGGGCGGCAATCTCGAATGTACTCGGGCATCTAATGGCCTAGGAACGGCCCAGTTATGATGTACTCCTTATCAAACCATCTTGATTCAAGGCAAACTAGATATCTAGTTGGCTTGCTTGATTCTTTTAACAGAGCCCTTGTGATCTAGAATTTCGAAGCTGTATTTATAGATGATAAAGTCCAGTAAAGTGAATTTGCATAAAGGTGCCGAAGATTTATTTGATCCTTTGCTTAATTAATTAGTCAGTAATGAAAACAAAAAATTGAACTTACATAAGGATGCACTTATGTAAGTTCAATTTTCCTCCTTTCTTATAAAGAGGTCTTCTAGATCTCAGCGCAGACTGTGGATTCAGATGAACTCACTGCTACTCAGTCCCATGTTGCGTGACACCGCTTCGCCATTTTTAATATGTAAGTGGATGACTGTTTACTGAGCCTATACCTACTACTACCCAAGATGGGAGAGTAAGATTTTTGTAGGCGAGATTTCACATGATTTCTGAAGATAATCCCATGACTCTGAGCCACTGTTTATGATTCCAACCCGAGTGGCTCCAGCCCATTACGTCATTCATGCATGTGAGTATTAAGTGAAATTTTGTAAAGCAATGGGTTGGGGCATGATGAACCTCTGTCGAAGCTCCCATATTCACATGAATTATTTAGCACGAATTCCTTTCTGAGGAAGACACAAAGCTAGATTTAGACTTGATAAGGCTCTAGGCTGTTTGAAATATAGGGCCCTTTATAAGTCTGTTATACTATATTTTAATTTTAGGGGGGCGAAGAAAGAAAGTGGGGGCCCTAAGCTATATATAATAGTAGCTTATATGTGTAGCTTATACGTAAATCCTGCACTGGAAAGACACTTGAGACCAATGTGCATTAAATGGCTGTTGTTTCTGATGTAGGGCTTGCTGGAATAACTGCAAAAGTAGCTACTATTAAGCTACGAAATTGAAGGTGCCTTTGTAAATATTTGGCAATCCATGTGGAGTTAATGACGGGGATGCATTACAGAAATTAGCTGAAATTTCAAACATCGTTTTTAAAACCCTATTATGCGGCTACAAGTTTTGTTAGCTGGTCTTCTTACGTTTATTCAATCGGGCCAAAGCTCTATTTATACTGTTATTAATGTTTGATAAGCCAGTAATAATATTTGATTCACTGTGATAATACAGATAAGTAAACTGGAACCATTCTAGCTAATAAATGAAGCTTTTAAAAAAGTTACATTTTCATTAAAAAAAAGTTTTTTTAATCTTGAATTTAATTTTTCTTTCCAAAAATGTAATTTAGAATTGTAAATAGGCAGACAGAAGAGCATCATGGATGATTAATAACTGCTCGGCGCTAAATTCTCAAATGTACATAAATAAGTATATTTAGTATAATTGTTTGCAGCGAAATAACCTATACCATTCTGTTTGAAATAATTTACTGTATTTTATTTTAATCAAATTAGAAAGCAGTATTATTAATTATACATTCTGAACTGTAAAAACAAGACCTTAAATATAATCAAATGTAGATTGTGAATAAACATAAGAGTAGGAATATAAGAAAAATTATACTATATAACAAACATTTTATATTTGTTTATTGGCAATAAATATAAATAGCAGTTCTAATTTCAATAATTCTATTTACAAGAACTTGCTTGCAGAACTTCTTAATAAATTTTGCCAAAATTATTAACTTAACGATCCGAGTTCATCGTTCACTGCAACCGTAACTAGTAACCGTAACTTTGGGCGCCAGCGATCGCGGAAAGGATGTCTCGTGTACAAAGTAAGTGCTAATTTGTTATTAATGCAATTTAATATTATTATTTATATATATTATGATATAAATTAAATTTAATTTCATATATTGTCAGAGGGATGCTAACGAGAATAAAGTAAATTCGTAGTTTAAAACGATTACTTAAACTTATCCCTTACTTACGATACTGAGAATTTTTTTTTGCTTTTACTGTATGTTTAAGCGTTTTTAAGTATTTCTAGATTATAAAAATAGTTTATGTATTTATAAAAGAGTAGGTTTCTTGATTGATTTTATGATAGATATTTCTTTTAGTTTTAAGCATTTTTAAAACATGAAACTATTTTGTAAAGCTGATTTCTGCAAATCGTATATTTGAAAACATTAAGTAGTAGTTGTATTTAATGTAATTTAAGCAATTTCGTTTATTATTTCTTAAACTTTTGCCCAGCAAAAAAATATATTATATATATATATTTTTTTTTATAATCGCATATTTGAAAATATTAAGCAGTTGTATTTATGTGTAATTTAAGCAATTTCGTTTATTATTTCTTAAACTTTTGCCCAGCAAAAAAATATTATATATATATATATATATATTTTATAATTTGCATTTCTGCTAAGCAGTTGTATTTAATGTAATTTAAACAATTTCATTTAATATTTCTTAAACTTGTGCTCAGCAAAAAAAATATATATTTTGTTTTTTTCTTATTATTTGCAGGTATCCTGATAGATATCTGAAGGAACAGCGATGAGTAGCCTTCAGGATGGCACCATAAATTTGGTAAGTTCGTTTTTTCTTGTTCTTTCCAGGTTTGGTAGGTCAGAGTTGTTTTCCCTTTCCGATTTCCCTCAGACAGGGAAAATAATTTTGGCCACCATCTTGGATTTCAAAAACGCGCCGGCCAAAAAATAGCCAAGGGCCGGTTACGGAAAATTTCCCCTAAGGTCAACTACACAATGAAATTCCTTCTAGAACATTCTAAATGACAAAGCGCGCGAAATCATGACTTAGCAAAATGCCTCCCTTCCCTGCTTCTTTTCACAATGAATCAAAGCTTGTACAAAAATTGCAAATAAAAGAAAAATAAATAATATTCTTTTAAACTAAATAATATTCCCAGAAGCATCTATTTTTCCCCAAAATTAAAGCATTAAAATAAATAATTCAGAATCAAATAAAATTAAGATTTCCATAAATCAGAAAATCATTCACCTAGTTTTTATAATGCTATCAGACAAATTCTCTACACAACACATTACTTTACACATTAATATTTTCTTAAACGTCTTATGATGCCCTTGAAAGTTCTCTGCACAGCTGAACTTTGATAAATCAAACTGAAGGGAGTTTAAAAAACTGCTTAGGATAATAAAAAATTTGATTAATGAGAAGCTTGGGAAATTTTCCTAAAAAAAAAACAGATTGAATTTTACACAGAAGGATGAAAACTATAGCATATATATTGCAATAATTATTTTGTTGGGGAAGGGAATTGAAAATCGAGAAACCGAATTTTTAATAATTATATTTACAAAACAAAAGTACTTTATATAGGGGCTTGAAATCTTATTGCTCAGGGGGAGAATTAGACGACATCACTTCACTTGAAAGACAGTTTTAAAGGTCTTTTAATCTCTTGAAGAAAATATATTAAAACTTATAATAATATAGAATATCAAACAGCTCAGCTTTACTTTATACCATATAAAAATATGTTGCAGTGGGAAGATGACTAAATGAGCCCAATAATGACAAATGGGCAAATTAATTTATATTCACGATTTCAACCACATAAGTCTGGGCTACAACTTTCATGCTTTACAGATAAGAAAACAAAAACAATAAAATAATGGATTTAACTCAGTTGTAATTAATGAACTAAAGCAAAGTACATGACGGCTTTCTGTCCATATCCAAGGAATCCTTTTGACGAATGGAATTGAGATAAATAACGAACTATCAGAGTTCTGTGGTCTTCGTCACTCTGTCAGTACCGAGCAGCACAGGTTTAGCTTAGGAACATGTCAGATTAATAAGCTAATTTAGTTTTGAAATTTTTCAACAGTTAATTTGGAAATCATCTCTTTTTTATACTAACAGCAGCTTTAATATATTATTTAATACATAAGAATTAACAGTTTAACTGCTGTTCATTCACCCATTCTTTCGAAAAATAAGTTTGAATACTTCTAATATTTTAATACAATTCAAAAAATAATACAATATAAGTTTAAGCTTACTTGTTGATGTTGCAGAACTGAATAACATTGTTGTAATGTACGCAGTGTAGCAGCTGATGTAGCTTTGAGCAGTAACAAATTCTGGAAAAGGAACAAATATTTGCCTTCGTAGACTAAGTTTCAATAATTAATTACGAAACATGAATGTAAATTTTTTCAGTCCAGGACTGTAAAATTAAAAGCTATGCTTATTCTTTTCCAGAATTTAAAAGAAATGAATGCAAATTACAAATCAAATTCATAATAAATAATTCATTAAATTCATATGTTTTGAAATTGTATCATTAAACTTCACAAAAAGAATGTTCAATAACATAGATAATTTCGAAACATACTTATTTTCATAAATACCTCAAAAAGATTTAAATTATTTAAAATCTGTGTACAGAAAGCATTAATCTAGTTTAAATTTACAACATATTCTTTCTTAGAATGGGTATGACTCACCATCACCTGGAGTCTTATTTGGCACAGATCAGAATGGCCATAATAATGTGCTTGTTACATTATTATCAGTAATTACTCAAGTATGGCCATCAAAAAGTGTTTTCAGGTACTTTCCATATGTTGTTAGCCAAAATTTCATTAAATAAAATAATAAATACAAATATATATTAAAATTCCTTCAGTATGTCTATAAAATAAATTACGCATGATAGTCAATGAATGAATTGCTTCTGTGTATTGATAATGCTCTGTTTCTTGCCAAAGTTGAAAGGCCCCAATTATTATTTCTCAGCAGTGTTGCTATAACACAGAAATTTAAATCAAATTTTTTTATAGAGAAAATAAAAATTTGACAGCATTTCTGTTGTTACATTGAAATATATAATTAAAGTATTTTGATCGCAGAAAGAATTTTATGATACACGATTAAGGATCACATATGCATAAATTTATATGTGATGTAAGGAAGGAAATCATTAAACGGTGAGAAAATTATGTTTTCATGCTGTACCTGATTTAAGTAATTTATCTTTGAGAGACCAGCAGAAGTTAACAAGGATAATGGAGCTTCAAGATTTTCCATAGAAATCTTCCATAGATTTTCCATAGAAAAAACATCCTATTATTGAATCCCTTATTAATAATAATAATAAATGTCAATAAGTCATATATATATATATACATATATATATATATATATATACATATATATACATATATATATATATATACATATATACGTAGCGTATTCGGAAACTAAGTACCGTTTCATTCTAGCGCCGTCGCAGTGCTGTGGTAGGCGTCCTGCGCATGCCCACCAGTCTTTCTTGTTCACTGACTTTCAATTGTCGCCATTTTGGTTGCTCTGTGTTGTGTTTTCAGTTTGCTGTACACATTCAAAATGTTTAAGACAATTAGTTCTCCCGCTGACTGTGAGATTCGTGCCGTGATTAAATTTCTGAACGTGAGGAATGTTAAACGGCCGAAATTTATCGTCAAGTGACAGAAGTTTACAGTGAATATGCGATAAGTGATAGAATGGTGAGAAAGTGGGTAAGAATGTTTAATGCAGGTCGAACAAATGTCCACGCCGAGGCTCGGAGTGGTCGGCCTTCTGTTGTCACCGATGATTTGGTAAGGACAGTTGATGAAGCAATTCATGAGAACAGACGCTTCACAATGACAACTCTTTCAGAGGCATTTCCACAAATTTCACGTGCTGTTTTGTTCGAAATTGTGTTTGACCGGTTGAATTATCGCAAACTGTGTTCCCGATGGGTCCCAAAAATGCTCACTGATGTTCACAAAACAAAGCGATTTGGTAGTGCCCTGACATTTCTCACGTGGTACAGTGATGAGGGAGAAAACTTTTTAAACCAAATTGTGACAGGTGATGAAACTTGGGTATGTCATTTCACACCAGAATCGAAACAACAATTGATGGAGTGGAGACACACGCATTCTCTGAAAAAACAAAAGTTCAAAGTGACAATGTCATCACAAAAAATCATGTGCACTGTCTTCTGGGATAGGAAAGGCGTTTTGCTTACTGAATTTCTTCCCAGAGGTGAAACCATTAATGCGGCACGATATTGTGAGACTTCAACAAAACTAAGGCGTGCCATTCAAAACAAACGAAGAGGAATGCTCAGTAAAGGAATTGTGTTGCTCCAACACAATGCTCGACCCCATACTGCTGGTGTCACTCAATCGTTAATTCGACAGTTTCATTGGGAGCAGTTCGATCACCCGCTATACAGCCCGGACTTGGCGCCGTCCGACTATCACTTGTTCCTGCACATGAAGCGCGAGTTTGGTGGCAAGCGCTTTGGATCTGACGATGACACGAAAAATGCTGTGGAGTGTGGGATCGAAACTGGCGGGAAGTTTCTTTGACAATGTATACACAAAACTGGTCACCCGCTATGACAAGTGTTTGATCATTGGCAGAAACTATGCTGAAAAATAGTTTTAAGACATGTATTTTCATGTAAAAATAAAATTAGATTCGAAAAAATTGTTTTACTATTTTTTTTTTCAAAACGTAGCCTCGTATATATATATATATATATACGAGGTATGTATATATATATATATATATATACTTTCTCCATGAAACAAATTTTAGGCAATACCCACCAAAGAGATTTATACAGATCTGAACTAGAATGATTTATTTTTTTTCTTCCTTAATTAAAATTTAAGATATATCAAAAGAGATTTGATTACATAGAAAAAACATTCAAAATTATTCTCTTAGCACTACTGCTGGTCTGGTTTGGTAGAAATGTAGTGGGGCACCCAATATTTACTATAAGTAATATAGATATAGTCCCACCACACTTCGATCTAGAGAAAGCCCAAAAGATCACAGAGATCACCGAGCTGTCATGGCTTGAAACATTTGTTTCACCTCACACTCCCAGGACTCCCTACCAAGATTCCGGACATTTATTAAAATAGCATTACTGCTGCAAAACAAGCAAACACATTTAATTTTTGAAATTTTGAAACACAATACGACTCTTTAAAATAATATATAACTTGCTTTTCACTAAATTTACTCACGTTGAATTAAAATTTTTTAAATATTTAAAAAAATTAAAAGTGAAGTTTTGGTGACTATTTCTCTATATATTATTTAACATAATTTGAACAGAAAAGTTTTATTAAACATATCTTAATGATTAAGAAATAATCTGATAATAATTGAGAAGATGAATACAATTCTGATTTGATATTTAATATAAAACTGAATTTTAAATAAATTGTCATATTCTTGATTGGGCCGAGTTTTGATTAAGTGCAGGGCACAAAAACTATAAGCCTAACAGAAGGTTTGTCTTTACAGAAGTTTTTTTACTGGAATTTGACTCATCTTCACTCTATACATATGGAAAATTCCTTTGGTTAAGAAGTTACTTTGCACAAAAATATGCTAATTTTTCAAAAACAAGCATCTCAAAGATATTACTGCTTTAAACTCAGACAGAAAGAAAGAAATTGTTTGCATCCTAATTCATTATTAAGACTTCTAAACAATTTTTTTTGTAGTAAAAGGAATTTTTCCCCCTTGCATGATTAAATTGTAAAATTAAAAAAAAATGTTATATTGCACTAACTAAATAGGTCATTCTCCGCCCTCAGTAAGTATATAAAATAACCATTCTTGAAATGTTACTCAGCAATAATCATGTTTGACATTAAAATTAGAGTAGATGTGGTGAAAAATAAATAACATCTTGTTATTGGAGAAAAATAAGCATTATTTCATGTATGTGGAAGTTTAATTTATGAAAATGATGATGTCATTACATTTATTTAATTACATAAAGAGTGGACACTTTTATTATTATCATTTATGACCTAAAATTGTGTATAATATGTATATAAATAAATACCTAAATTAAGATTAAAAAGAAGCTTAAGAAAATACTTTAGAAGTTAATGATGTGAAAATAGAAGTAGGAATTGATATTAAAGAGATAAGGAATGAAATGGCACACTAAAAAAAACTTCTATGTCGTCCCCACGACATGGAAGTTTTTTTCCAGTGGGGAAATGGTGAAAAAACACTACTCTCTGCAAGTGATAAGGGAGATGAGAAATTAGGCAAAATGTTGTTTTGGACAAAAGGACTAATCAAACATATATCCTTCTATGCTTTGTTATTGTTTCTAGTATTTCTTTTTATTCTTTACCTTTTTGCACTGGTTTGCCAGAAAATGAATGATATTTTTTCTATCATCCTTTGAAATACTGTATTATACTGTTTCTTCAGGGTTTAAATTTACCCAGAGCCTGGTTAAGCTATTTCTTAGTTTTTCTTAACAAAACAGCAATTCCAACTATAGCTCCAAATATGATATGATTTGGTATTTTATTTTGTTATTTAACCCTTCATCAAAAATTTAATAGTTTATTAAAATTTTATTTATCTCATTATAGTTTAATGAATTTTAATTATTTATTATTTTACTTAATAAATTATTTATTTATTTCTCTTTTTTCTTTTCTGATAGCCTTCTGCAATGCTCAGGCACTTATGATTTTAGAAATTAACCCTGGTTGTGGAAAGCAAGAGACTTTCAAACTAATAACTATATTCAACTGACATTCATTTATATTTGAAATGGTTAAATGATCGATAGATTAACTCTTTCAATTAAAAAAAAATTACCTTGTTTTCTATCTAAGTGAACAAAATATGTTATAAATAAGATAAATTTAGCAATTGGGAATTTTTTGACAAATGGTTTTTCAAGCCAAAGGCTGGGACACATATATCCCAGCCATTGTTAATGGTAGGATACATATGTTCCACACATAAAGATCAACTTACTAATAAGCATACCTATTATTCTGGAAAACTTTATTATATGAAATAGATTTTACATTGTATGGTACAGGGTAAAGCATTCTTTGCATAACCCAACATTACACATAGGGAAACTCATTTTTGTTCTTTTCTCTACGTTCATTTGAGTACAACAAGCACAGCGGCACCTTCATTTTCCAACTTTTGGAAGATGATCCCTGACATTCAGGAGATTCGAAGGACTTTTTTTTTAACTCAGTAGTAATTTTTAAACTTTTAGTGGGATATATATGTCCCATTAGTAGTTAAAGACAGACCAAAAGTATTTTACCCATATTATCAATGCACTTTATGATTTAGTGCATGATTTTTTACAAAATTTGTAATGAAATATAAAGCATGTTCATTATATACCATTTATTTCATGCATAATAAAATTACAATATATATTAAGTATGGTGTTAAAAGAAATTCACAGAGGGGAAAGAAGTTTTCCAAGATGAATTTGACAAAGTTGTCTTAAATAAATAAACATATAGCATAATCTAGTAGATTAAATAAGAAATATTAGTCACTGGAGAAGTTTTTTTTTTTCCATATTTTTATATGTTTCTGAGTAGCACTTTGTATCAGTGGAAACAACAGAAATAACTTGCAACAATGAACACAAAAACCAGCAAAATAATAGTAAAAGCAAAGTTGGGAGACCACTGGCATAAATCATTTACATATCTAGATCTTAAAATATTCCTGTAAGAACATAAGTGATTACACCTACAGAGTCAATAAAGATATTTATTTGAGTTTATAAAGATGCCCACATAAGAATTACTTAATGCATATAAAGTATGATTATACATATAAATAATTCACATATCAATAAACGGTACTATTCCATTTTGAGGACCGTAAAAAATCGCCAAACTATTGTTGATGCCAGTGCTAACAAAAATATTTGCGGCAACCATAACGCAAGAAAGGAAGTATAATAGGAAATAACTATCTAAAGATTATTGTTTTATTAGAATAGGGTTAATTCATCTAATACTTATCTTATTATTTAAATTTTTATAAAAAAATCGATGTATAACCACATGAATCCTTGTACGGAATATTAAATTATACGCATTTTTCTTGGAATTTCATTAAACTATGGATGAATTAAATCTACTTCTCGACGTATTATACCATCGACCACTCTGGTGTTAGATTACTTAACAGATTATATTTCGTCATATTATAACTCTAACGCGCAAAATTTATATCATTAAAGAAAGAATTTCTAATCGTTGCCACAGTTCTATTCAAATACTATAATAAAGTAGAATGATGTAGAAAAGAAATTAAGCAAACAAAAAAAAAAAAAAAAAAAAAAAAGAAAAGAAAAGAAAAGAAAAAGTTTTCACAGACGATTGAGTTTTCTCATTCAATTAATTAGTTCTCTCTTCGCGAGAGGCAAATATACATAAAAAAACTCAAGTATTATGTGTAGAAAATCGAAGAAAATCTAAACACTTCTCTCGAAAAAAAGAAAATTTAGCATGATTAATTGGCAATAATAGTGAAGGCGTTATCTTTGTGTTGCAAAGCTAATTTCTCTAAATTGGCAAACAAAATCTGATGTTTCAAACGTAACAACAATGCCCGCCATATAAAAAAGGTTAGCGGACTAACATTAAAATTGTGATAATTCTAAAAATATTATACAGATTACTAAAGGCATAAAACCTAACGGAAGCTATAAAGAAAATTAATTCAATCTTTTAAGCAAAAAATTACAATTTACAAACATATAAGAGTAAAGATACTGCGATACGAGCGGGTAACAGAGTGCATTATATCTAAAATAATTTATATAGTTGGTGAGCCGATTGCACCCAAATACGAAAGTGCACATCTACATGTTTTATAGCAGTCTTATACAAATCAAAGTTCGAGGTTACACGTTTTTTGAGTTATGCGAGATACGTACGTACGACGTAATAGTCGACAGACGCACGAAAAATTCTTTCGAATTATTTTTTTTTAAATTTTTATAATTTTTTTGGAAGGAGACGAGTCTTTATCTGTCCTTTCATAAGGATATCACGCAAAAACATCGTTTAAATGCATCATAGCGGTTTCAAAATTGGATATTTTCGTTTGTGTTGAAATATGCTGCCTGAAACTTTCGCGATTACAATACTTCCTTTTTTACTTCGTACAAGGAAGTGTAAAAAGCCAAACATAAACGAATGAGGCATAAGAGTAAATAAATATTTCATATCATATTATAATTTATATAAGAAAAAGCTAATGGATTCCGCTCGCTTATTGGGTACTGAGTTTCCTCTAAAGCAAATTTCATGTCGTTGGTTGTTCAAACATAATTTTCTATAATGAATGATGCCTTTTCTTTGAAAAAATTCTATTGCAGACTTTTCGTCATGGGCAATTCCCAAATTGTTAAATCCGTAAGATATCAAAAATGGATTTAAAAATTAAACTAGTATTTCAATAGCATCTTAAGAAATATAGAACTATCATAACTTACGCAATTTGAAATCAGCGCACACGTTAGATTTGGCGCACTGTTAATTGGGCGCATTTGCTAAATTTCGCGTTTTTGCGCATATATTTTCGCTGCTATTTTTTACGGTCCTCAAAATAGAATAGTACCCAATAAACATATCATTTAAAAGTTTGACTTTCCTTTGAAAAAGCATGATTTCTGTTACACACACATACACAAAAAAAGGGGGCGCAAGAAAAAAGAAAAAATGATTTTACTTACAGTATCACAGCATTTTGGACCATTTCCAAGGTAAGGCAGAGCCTAAAATTAAAATACTAAATGAAATAATTTCAATTCTTATTAAGGTTTTTTATTTTATTTACAGAAAAACTAAAATTATACGATATTATGCTATTTATATAGTACAAAGTCAGAGATCCAGTATCCAGAAAGATCTAAAATTTCGGCCTCCAGAATATTTTTAGAAGTATTTTTAATGCTTTAAGCTTGCACATTTGATATTTTTTTCAAAATAAAACATGGAGAATCTTGATGATTCTTAATTTCCCTTTAGCACTGATGCCAACCGGGTAAATTATTATTTACTATTTCTTGCTTTCATCACCACATGACTAACAACCACTTGAGAAATGACTCATGTAGTGATGTCTAAAAATTTTTAATAATAGTATTTGAACATAAAAAAGATGGAAACCTTTAAACTTTGACATTACGCTTGGTGATGATTTCAGCTAAACTGCGCTGAGAAGTGGAGTGTGTTGAGGGAGAAATTTAACAGAAATTTCTTTCCATATGCAATAATGTAGATTTTGTAAATGATACTCAGAGGTTAAAAGATTACATTTAGTGCTGCTTGAATTAAAAATAACTGATTTTGTATTCAGTGGACTGGTGCCAGAGCTAATGCAGCCACAGTGGGTGGCAGAATTTATGGGAGAAAAAATTGTTTAGGGTTTAGAGAAACACTGAGCAAAAAATAAAGGGACGGCAAAATGTTTAGAGTTTAGGGAGGCATCTGACATCAGAATTTTGGACCCACAGAGACTGGACCAGACAAAATGTCTAGTACGACTCCTGGATAAAGTAAGGAATTTTATTTATTCAGGACTAAGATAAGATTTAAGCATGTGCAGGAAAGAGTCGTAAGTATAATAAATAACTAACCTAAAATACTTCAGGCTTTGCTTTATCAGCACTTGATAGAAGCAACCCAAAATTTAATGCTGTATGTTTATTTTAGCAGAACAACATGTTTTATTCACCCGTCTCCCGATACACTGCCAATAGTGTATAGATGATGATAGCTAAGCTTTATGATGATAGCCGGAAATTTGAAAATTTTCAGATATCACAAACAAAAAGCAAAAGTTTTCAATTAATGGAATTTGTGAAGAAATATGTAGAAGTGGTAATAAATGAAGATAATATTTAAATAAATTTTTCATTGCAATGATAATGCCCCAATCAACAATCAAATTAACAGATGGCAAAATTTGTAGTACGGTTCCAAACCCAGAAAATACCACTGCCAATAGTGAAGAAAGTGACAGAGAACAAAAAAATTTTGATTGACAGTTTAGTAGGAATTGTTGATGTGGCAATTACAGTATCACAACATTTTGGACTTGAAAAATGGAACTTTAAATGTGAAAAAGAAGATCAAAAGAATTAAAGGGAAAGTACGAGGCATATTCGGAAACTAAGTACCGTTTTGAAAAAAAAAAATAGTAAAACAATTTTTTCGAATCCAATTTTATTTTTACATGAAAAAAATGTCTTAAAATATTTTTCAACATAGTTTCGCCAATGATCAAACAATTGTCATAGCGGGTGACCAGTTTTGTATACCATCGTCAAAGAAACTTCCGCAGTTTCGATAACCACGCTCTCCACAGCATTTTTCGTGTCATCGTCAGATCAAAAGCGCTTGCCACCAAGCCGCACTTCATGTGCAGGAACAAGTGATAGTCGGACGGCGCCAAGTGCGGGCTGAACGGCGGGTGATGAACTGCTCCCAATGAAACGTCGATTAACGATTGGGACACTAGCAGTATGGGGCCGAGCATTGTCATGGAGCAACACAATTCCTTTACTGAGCATCTTTCTTTTTTGATTTGATGGAACGCACCCTTAGTTTCTAAAGTCTCACAATATCGTGCAGCATTAATGGTTTCACCCTCTGGGAAGAAATTCAGTAAGCAAAACGCCTTTCCTATCCAAGAAGACAGTGCACATGCACATGATTTTTGTGATGACATTGTCACTTTGAACTTTGTTTTTCAGAGAATGAGTGTGTCTCCACTTCCATCGTTGTTGTTTCGATTCTGGTGTAAAATGACACACCCAAGTTCATCACCTGTCACAATGTGGATAAAAAGTTTTCTCCCTCATCACTGTACCGCGTGAGAAATGTCAGGGCACTACCAAGTCGCTTGTTTTGTGAAATCAGTGAGCAGTTTTGGAACCCATCGGGAACACAGTTGCGATAATTTAAGCGGTCAGACCAATTCGAACAAAACAGTACGTTGAAATTTGTGAAAATGCTCTGAAAGAGTTGTCATTGTGAAGCGTCTGTTCTCTGAATTGCTTCATCAACTTTCCTTACCAAATCATCGGTGACAACAGAAGGCCGACACTCCGAGCCCGGCGGTGACATTTGTTCGACTGCATTAAACATTCTTACCTACTTCTCACCATTCCATCACTTATCGCGTATTCACCTTAAACTTCTGTCACTGACGATAAATTCGGCCGGTTTAACATTCTCGCATTCAAAATTTAATACGGCACGAAATCTCACAGTCAGCGGGGAGAATTAATTGTCTTAACATTTGAATGTACACAGCAAACTGAAACACAATAAAGAGCAACCAAAATGGCGACAATTGAAAGTCAGTGAACAAGAAAGACTAGTGCGCATGCGCGGGACGCCTACCACAGCGCTGCGACGGCGCTAGAATGAAACGGTACTTAGTTTCCGAATACACTACGTATCAGCACAGAAAAAGAAACAAATTAAACAACTTACATTAAAAATAATGTTTAATAAAGTAAAGCCCTTTTTTTTGTAAATTTTGATTCCCTTAAGGCTAAAAGTACTTCATTATTTCATAAATCACTATTTCATATTTCTAATTTCTATGTATCATTTTACTATATTTAAATTGATGATCTAACATCCCGAAAAATCCCAAAGCCATGGCAAGTCCAGATCTCGGACTTTGTACTGCATTAGCATAATCTATATTCATTTTTATGATACACATTTTCAATCTGTTGATACACATTTATGTAAAATACTTTTATTTCATTTAACGATGAATGATCAACCCCTAATATGGATTATTTGATTAAAGTAAAAATATAAAAATTTACCTCAATTTTTCTTGATAAAGAATTATTATATGCTTCAGTCTGGCGCAACATATCACGGACGTTATTTAAAGCCTCAGTCACAGAAGAAGCAATTTGAACCACAGAAGTTTGAGGAGTAACTTGTGTTTTGGTTTTTCTACTTCCTCTTTTGCGTGTCGGATGAGAGTCCATAATAGTACTGCTGTGAAAACCAGTATACCATGTAGAATGAGTATCAGCATTTGGTCCAGAGGTTCTTAATTCAATGGCAGATAAAGGAGTTCTGTGTTCTCGGGGAGGTAATGGTGGATTTTTCTGCATAGAACATAAATTTAAACTTATACATACTTTCTTTACTTATATATATAAATATATATATATTTAAATATGTACAAAAATCCTGTAATTTGTACAAGGATAAAATATTTAGTAATTTCAATGTTTTCAAATGACTACAGAAAGCAATCTTCAGTTTCTTTTTACATATGGTAAAAAGCTATATTAATAATTAAACATTCTCAAAGGAAATACTTGGGTAAAATATTTTAAATTCTTGGTCTTATTATTTTTATTATGATAGTATTTGTGAAATATTAAAAATGATAATCAATAAATGCACTGTAGTAACAAGGTTAAAAAAGGCTACATTATTTCAAAAATCATTCATGTACAAAAATCTGAAATTATTTTTACTTTCCCTTTTTGTGACACTTTCCATGCTTTAGAATTATGACTTTTAAATAATTCAAAGACATTTTTCTAAAATCTCACTGCATATAAAACCACAATTTTATAGTTTTCCTACAGATTGTGATTGTAGCATACAGTAGAAGTCCATTAGTCCGGCATCCAACAGTCCGGAATGCTCGATAGTCCGGCATCGCTCCGGAAAATTGTAAAAATTTTGGTTTTCTCCAAAAGTGTGTCTTTAAAGCAAATAAAACCCGCTTGAGAGCTATTCAGAAGTTTTCGGGGTAGTAGTTCGAGATCATCCGGAAGCGCTCGGATATGTTCGGAAACAATTAGCGGCCGGCTAGTCTCAGCTGTCACAACAAATCAGGTGCAGTGCAGCTCCGTTAATCAATCACGAAGCGTCTTCGCCATTTTTTGTGCGTTGTTGTTTTGTGTTCCTTTCACATCGCAGAAACGTAAACTTTTGAAACTGTTTATAAAAAAAGTGATTTTCGTTCTAACTGTACAGTGACCATGTTTTCAAAACCTAAGCCTTTGAGTTCAAAAGGAGAGAAACGAAAACCCGTAACACTGACTCTCAATCAGAAAATAGAAATCATCAAACGGCTAGAAAAAGGTGAGAATAGAAATGTTTTGTTTTAATGAATGAGTTTAATATTGGCTCATCAAATATTTATGACATTAAAAACAAAAAGATGAACTAATGAAGTTTGCTTCTCAATCGGTAACAACTGAAAAATTGGCTTCTAGACAAACATTAAAAAAAAAAACAAAAACTGGAACAGATAGATAGTGCATTGTTCAAATGGTTTTAGTGCAGTACGTTCTGAAGAAAGCCGGTAACAGGGCCAATGATTGTTGAAAAGGCAAAGAAATTCGGCCATGATTTAGGAGTTGCTGAAGTGAATGTAATTATTCTGATGGTTGGCTCAGAAACTTTAAGTTTCGGCATGGAATTCGAAGACTTGATGTAACTGGAGAAAAGAGAAACCCTTTCAGCAAACCAAAAACTATGCAGAAAAATACAAAGACGAGTTTGAGAAAATTGTGGCTGATAATGATTTAACACCTGAACAGATTTACAATGCTGATGAAACAGGGCTATTGTGGCGATGTTTACCAACATCTACACTAGCTGGGGAAGGAGAAAAAGCAGCCAAGGGTTTTAAAAAAAACAAAGACAGATTAACCGTCTTGCTATGTGCTAATAAAACCACCGAGTGACCCCTTTTGTGATAGGTAAATCTGCAAAACCCAGGGCTTTTAAGAACGTTACACACTTGCCTGTCCAATACGATGCTCAATCAAATGCGTGAATAACTGCCGCCCTCTTTTAAAAGACTGGTTTTTTCACCACTTTGTGCCTGAGAGGTCAAGGAATCCTTCAAAGCCTTGGTCTACCAGAAGATACTAAAGCCATCCTTCTTTTGGACAATTGCAAAGCCCATCCGCCAGTAGATGAGTTAGTTTCTGGAAATATTGTTGCTACTCTGCTCCCACCTAACGTAACTCTTTGATTCAACCCATGGACCAAGGGGTTATTCAAAATTTTAAATGCTTTTATAGAAGGTCTTTTATTCAAGGCCTGTTAAATGCCGACTGTGACGTGACTGATTTTCAAAAAAAGTTTACAGTAAAAGATGCCGTCTATGCTATTGCACAATCTTGGAACCAGGTAAAAAATACAACACTCCAAAAATTCTGGAGAAAACTTTGGTCAGCTGCAAACCCTGCATCTGACCTAACTCTACAGACTGATGAGGAAGAAAACCATCAGGATGCTCTGACCAAAGTTTTGGATGTCGTTAGAAGTACTGACAATCCCTTGAAAAACCTGCCTGAAGATGAGGTAGTAGAGGAATGGCTTTTAATCGACGAGAATGAGCTGTGTGAAAAGAATTAACCGATGAGGACATTATCAACATTGTGTAGTAAACCCTCAGCCTACTCAAAATCTTGAAGAAATTACTCAGATGCTGAAACGAAAGAAAAGGAAAAAAAAAATCAGCTGGGCAGAGAAGCTGCAGAATCACTAAATAAGTTTTATCTCTTTTGCCGAGGCTAGTACTAGCTACAGTGCTTCAGAAATTATATGATTTCCATATCATTAGAATAAATTTTATACTAAACGTCAAAAGTCAAGAAAACAAAAAGACAGTTCGTGACTTTTTTAATCTAAGTAAATATGTTTTACAGTACGTGTACATACATTATATGAAATGTAAAATAAACTTTGTTGTATGTATTTGCATACTGTATTTTAGTTTAATTATTAACCTAATTGTTCTTATAATTACCACCCGATAGACCGGAATTTTCGGTAGTCCGGCACCGAGCCGGTCCCGAACGTGCCGGATTATCGGACTTCTACTGTATTAAAAATAATTTTATTTGCTTGAAATTATATAATTTTTTGCTCATTATCTGTATTTTTATGTGTAAAATGTTTTAGAGAAGCCTGACTGGTATGGTGTTCTCATTTTTACGTTTCAAGATTTTTTGCTGCTAATGGTTGGACACTTTGGTAGCTTATTGATTATTTAGCCATATCATCACTTAGAATTGTTGCCCAGGGTGGCCACAGATGGCAACCAAATTATACCCACAAGAAAAAAATTTTGGTATAATTTTGAAGGAGAATATCAGGTGATATGGATCTGATGGTGCCCTTCCTCTTTTCTGAATCTCTCAACAGAATTTTTAATTCAACAATACGAGGGCTGTCTGAAAAGTTTTCAACCTCGATATATAGATGGCAGTATTAATCAACTGAAGTGGGAGGATCTCAAAGAGAGAATGAATCGACTGCAAAAAAGGCAAAAACTCTTCCTTCTGCTGGGAAAGTGACAGTAACAGTTTTCTGGGAGAGCCATGGGATTGAGCGAATAGATTATCTTGAAAAGTGAAAAACCATTACCAGGGTATGCTAAGCAATGTTATTTTTTACAAGTTGAAGGCAGACATTGTGGAAAAACAGCCCCATTTGCAAAAGAAAAAAAAAACTGTTTCATCAAGACTATGCTCCATCTCACACCTCAGCAGTTGTAATGGCGAAAATCCATGAACTACAGTTTGAAATGTTTGACCACCCATCCTACTGGCCAGACCTCATACTTTTATGTTTCCAAAACTAAAAGAAGCACCCAGAGGACAAAAATTTTCATCAAATGGAGGTTACGAACTTTGTTAATAACTACCTTTCAGAGAAAGATTCCACATATTATTTGAATGGGTTAAAAGGATGGCAGCATCACCGGAAGAAATATGTAGGGAACTACTCTGATATGCGCCCTCAAGGCGCCAAATTTCTCGCCAAATATTTTTGGCGAGAAACTCCACGTTGCCATATTGCTATCTAAATTTTTTGTCTACATTTCGAACTTTAAGCCTAAAATGTCTCCAAAAACACGGTTTTCGCGAAAGCAAAAACCACGTTTGAACACAAACAATTAAAGCTAAAATTCAAAACAGAAGAACAAAAAATTTAGATAGCAAAAAACCGTGGAAGTTTCTAACCAAAATTATTTTACAAGAGTCCATGTACACAGCGATATGTTTTAATTTAAAAAAAAAAAAAAACATCTACGAATGGCACAATCTAGGCAACGAACGAATTTACGAACTACGCACACCTCGCTTTTTTAATAATTAACATAACAATAAATTTCAAAGAATACCATGTACACAGCATCCTGTTTCAACTTAAAAAAACATCTACGAATTGCACAATTTAGGCAACAAACGAATTTACGAACTATGCGCACCTCACTTTAATAAATAACTATAACAACAATAAATTTCAAAGAATACCATGTACACAGCGTTCTGTTTCAACTTTAAAAAACATCTACGAATTGCACAATTCAGATGGTATGCACTAATCAACAAAATAACTAAAATAAATTTCAAACAATTCAAAAAAAAAAAACAATAATAACGACAGAAATTCATACTAAAAAAAAAAAAAAAAACAATGAACATTACATTCTACAAAAATAAGAACAAGAAAATAAAAAATAAAATGCACTTACCATTAATGCTTTTTTCGAAGAGCAGATATACCAATTTCGTACCGCCTTTAACATGCCGCCACGTAATCACTAATATCGTATTTATATGACAGCCAGACACACTATCCAGAAAATTCATACCATGGTCACAATAAAAATAAAATAACAAATAATCACAAATCCCTACTTTCTATCACGCACAACCACTAAAAATAATCTCCCATACCTTCTTTCCACACCTCCAAATACCCATTGCCCCTCAACAGGATGACCACGACGATATTTCCTTATGCCGAACTTCAATTCAACAACTTTCACCATTAAATCTTTTCCCCCTAGCTTCTCAGACACAAAGCATGACGGGAACCAACGAACTCCAGCGAAAGACTTTTCAACGTCAACAGGGTTGCCATACAACATGCAATCGCACCAAAAACCAGCACAGAACACATATCGCCACATTTGGTGAAATTAGGGCGTATATCAGAGTTGTACCATATGTAAACATACAAGGAGAGGAAAATATCTTTTTTCTTTGTTAGATTGGAAACATTTCAAACAGCCTATGTATTTTAAAAGTCCATATCCCACAAAGACACTATACACTTATAAATCTCCCAGCCCTCACCAGGATTTGAACTAGGCCCAAGGCTATGGCAACCTCTCTCACTCTCTTTCAAATGTTATTTCATTAATCTATGTTGTTGCCATTACTTAATTTTATTTTTCTATTTAAATTACACATCATAAAAGATTTTTTTTTTACATTTGGGTTTGTGAAAACAAGTCAAAACAGCAGTAACTTTACTGCTAGTTGAAAGGATCTTTATAGATAAAAGAATTACAAGAGATTACAAACACGTACTTCAGCAATACTTTTTGTGTGATGTTCAGCTACAGCTCTTATCCTGTTGACCCAGAACTGCCTTTCTTTAGCATCGTTAGCTATAATTTTTAAAAAAAAAATTAAACTTATCATAAAGATAATAACATAATTATTGATTTTGTTCACAATATTTGAATTCATTATATTGTAAGTATTCATATATAAGTATTTTTACTGTTTATTAATGTATTACAGTCAAAAATATTTCAAACACAATAATTTTGCTTAGAGAATAATTTTGAGAAAGCATATTCAATAGTATGGTATAAATTGTTCCTGCATAAGTTAAAATTTATAAAAAAGTTATAAAAAATTATTTGGAAAAAACCTAAAAATGCATATTTGCATGCATAAATATAAAATAATGATATAATGTTCCTCTTGAATTTGTGCTATGAGTTTGTTCAAAAAGTCATAGACATTATCAAATATTATACTGCAAATACAGCTAGAAAAATTGTCATTACCTTTTAACTTATATAATTCACCACAAGCTGCACTGATTGCAAAAGTTTGGCCGTCTTCATCACTTGGAGATATTACAGCTCCCTACATGAGAAACATCTGCTTATTTATGTTATATAAATATCTTACACTTATTTAGGGAAAAAAAAAGTAGCAAAAGCAGTCTTCATACATTCAGATGTCCTCATACTTGCATATAAAAGTAAATTATCAATTATTTTAAGAAAAATAATTTTACTTTTCTTAATCTTCAGTATCATTTTTTTCCTAATGGAGGCAAAATGATTATTAAAATCAACAGACAATTTTAAAACTTCGGTATTCACTTTAAGGGCTCTTAGGTACTTTCTGATTATCTGCATCCCCATGAAAAGTTGCCTATACATTAGTTCTTTTATGAACTGCTGGAAAAGGCTTGTTTGGTTAATTTTAGGCCTCACTGGTGCTGTTCCATTCATAAATAATAATAAAAAAAGTTTAAAAGAAACAAGAAATATTTATGGGGGGTAGAATCCTAAGATGAATATGTATATTCTTGCAGCTGGTGGACAGTGTGCAGTGAAATGAGAATTAAATATAAACCATGCAAACCTATGTGCATTCAAATGCCTGCATTTATAAGTTAGCTATCATCATGCATGTACTTTAAAATATACTAAACGCATAACAATTCTACTGCACATTATAGCCATACATGTAGATAGAAAGTACTTTCTAAGACATATTCCTATAACCAAACATTTCACTCAACTTTGCTACTATTTACCTACGTATGAAAACACAGGTTGGTTTTCTGATATTTTAAAAATACTTGCTAAGCAGATGTTGATATGTTTTTAAGCACTCTTTTACTAAGATTTCAAAAATATTTTGCCAGTTCTGCTTCATCCCACCCCAAAAAAGCCCATCTATTTTTTTAAACATGAAAAATTAACTCAGCATGTAAAATAGTTAGCTTTCTATACACCTTATGTAATAAGGGATTTACTTTTAAATGTCTGATCAATAATTTTGGATTTTGTGCTTTATTTATAATAAATATTTCTAATAAAATACTTACAGCTAAAAATATAGCTCCTCTAGGTCTTTTTTTCTTCACCTCATCAAGCTAAACCAGAGAGAAATATAACATATATGAAAGTGTGGTAATAATAAAAATCACTTCTGTTAAAAAAATAATGACTGCTACATTATAATGGATTAAATATAGGGTCATCCAGAAAGTTCAGCAGTTTTTTTTTTTTTTTTTTTGATTAAAAATAAAGATGAAGAGGAAAAAAAAAAAAAAAAACTTTCATTAAATCCCCACAGTACCACTGACTTTTTTCAATCTTTCCGGCAGCTGGAAAATTCTTTTTTTTAGAAAAGTCACTAGATTTATTCATAAAGAAATTATCAAGATGCTGTGTGAAACTTACAAAATGGGATAGCTATCCTTAAATTTCTTCTAATTTTCAAAGATGGTTGGTGGTCAGAGAAGTTACATGCATCAAAATATAAATAACTAAACCTATTTTCATGTCAATCAATGACCAAAACATTGACTAAACATATTAAAATATGTTTAGTTCCAAGGCATACAATCTAATACATAAAATGTTAACTGTTTCTGCTTTTGTAATTAAATAAAATTATATTAAAAAAGACATTTTTATGGAAAATAAACTATTATGGTTAATAGCAATTAAAATTACAAAATACTCGCAGATGGATGACAATCCCCACCAAACAAAAAAGGCAAATGATATATACCATATAATATTCCAAAATACCAGTTTCTGGATTGAGGATGAACCAGCGATATTGCCAACCTTTTACAACATTAGTGTACTTGTATAATTGTCCTTCCAAAGGTCGACTGTGAAAGAAAATGTATTAAATTTTCTCATGAATGAAATGTGAGAGAGATCTGTTGCTATATTACATGAACAACAATTAAATGATTTAATATCAAATACAGATTTAAATCAATGTTCTAACATAAAAATCATCATCACAAAAATAATTATATGCTTGGAGAATATAGCGAAAATATATACTTTCCACAATTAACATATATAAATAAAAAAGTAGAATTTCTATTAGAATACACATCTACAAAACAGAAAATCATAAAAAAATATTGAAAAAGAAGAGATATCTTTTCTAGTAGTTTGAACTCTATAAATAAAAGATATGTAATAATGTAACCAAATTTGCTATAAAATACAATACACAGCTAATTTGAATTAAAAAATGCTATAAATTTTATACAACTGAGCTTTTAATTTTATATTTACTATGCTCAAATTAGACATTCATCTACAAAGAAAATTGGTACATTCTGATTATCCACACTCCCTCTCAAAAAGTTACCAACTTGCCAAAAATTGTAGATTCAAAACATAATAGCTATTTTCAAAAATAGAAGTGCACCAAGAGTTACATAAAATAGCAACCAACTAACAAAATTAAAAATGCAACCTTTTTCTTTTGGTGGTGGTGTTCTTTCCGTGTACACAGTTCTCTTTTTTTTTACTTAAAAAAAATCAGAGAATTGCACAACTTTGGTATCAAGCACACTGGATTTTTTCATTGTATATAGCAATGCATTTTTGCTTAAAAAATAGAGAATTACACAAATTTGGCTGAAGGTACACAAATTTTCATCGGTAAAATTCAATCATTTACCAAGTAAGAGTAAAAAATGCAAAAATTCACCGAGTGCAAATTTTTGCATTCTATACTGTTACGCAAAATACCACATTTCTGAAGAAATGTGACAATTTTTTTTTTTTTTCACCAGCTTACAAATTCTGCAGTACTACTATAATTTCTTACAAGAAGAAATGATGTTCACAATACAACAAAAATAAACACGAACGGTTGTTGAATTTAAAAGTGACCTTCAGTGGAACTCAACAGTTGTGTATTGCTTATGCATACCTAGGTTGCCACATAAATATATTTTGGCAACATCATGGACTACCTATTTTGGCAACACAGCATACTGCTTTGTGAACACTTTTCAGGAAATGAGGATTATTAGAAAGCATCAGAAAATCATTAAATAAATAAATAAATAAATAAAAATTATGCTAAATTAAAAAAAATAGTATTTTTAAAAGCAAATTAAAGTGCCAAAAAATTTTATTTCTTCATCTATAATACTGGAGAGATCCTTAAAAAAGATCAGTACTTGGAGAGGAATATTGAACATTTTCAGAGCATAATCCAAGATGAGTATTAACAATGTATAAATGTATATGTCACATAAGCCCTCATATAGAATTGGATTCTGTAAATTTGTGCTGCTCTTTATCACTTAGATCAGGAAAAAATTCCATTTTGGTTATTCGCAGAAAACTGTTGAAATTGCTTGGAATAAAAAATTATACAGCAATTCTTCTGTTCACATAAATGGATGGCAAACACAGATTTAATTGTATTATTCTAACCAGCTATCATTATTTGCATTATAAAATCAATCAGACCTTCCTGCATGTCCACATGAATATTATGTTCGTTTGATGGCACATGTTCTTCAATGAAGATTTTCACTCCTAATGTGATCTTCTTCTCATAACAGAATTTTCAGATGTACCCTCTTTAGCCAGTTAGTATTTTTAATAGTCACAGATTAATTTTAAGATCATGCATAAATTTTCACAAGAGGGGAGAAGGAATTAATACTGAAAGTTACTAGCAATGAATTGAAAAATCAGAATATGATAGCTACTAGGAAAAAATGGACTCCAAACCATGTGTTTGAGATTACAGCTTAAAAGTTTTTCAATGAGAGTTTGATACAACAAAGATTTTTGATTTTAGTTTTAATTTGATGCAACAAAGCTTCACGTTTAATGCAACAATCAATGACTCTTATTTAGCTCAAAAGGAGCTACTGGTCTCAAAATGCGATTATGCATTGATCACTATAAACAGTGTATTGCTTTTCAAATTGTTGAAAATCAAATATAATTGCCCTGTATTATTTTTAAAGAAATTAAATAATGAAGAATTTGTATGAATGTTTTTCGCAATGTGAAAAAACGATAGTATCTAGAGACATCAAACTTTGAATAATATAGTCCTCTACCTGAAAATGTGCACTTGGAAGGCTGAATTTTGAATTTATTTAATATCTGCTTCCTATTTTATAAAACTTTAATGAATTTTTGATTAACAAACTCAACAATTTGGAAGTAAGCAACGTATGGAACAAAACATTTTTATCTCCAGCATGAGACTGTCTATAAAAAATTCTAAAGATTTGCTGTTTTAAAATATCTGATGATTTTGTTCTTGAATTGAATTTTATGTGGCATACATGCAAAAATTGTGCTATTATGAACAAACTTAATATGAATAAAGTCATAATGAATAAAGTTAACACAGAGAATGTTACTAATAAGAAGACAAAAACAAAATTTTTGCTAGCCATCTCATTAAGAAAACTGAACACTGATAGAATAAACTAAGAAAAGATTGACAAAAATATAAAAAAAAGTATGCCAACACTTAAACAACACTTAACACTACGTCAGAAATTCTATATTTTGTTAAATTATATAAAAATTTTGTGATTTTGCTCTTGAATTGTCTACGGCTTAAGTGTGAAAAAAATTACGCTTTAATAATGAAAGCAAAAGAAATGGGTTAGCAGGAGCAAGTGCAACAGCAGACTAAGTAGATTGTGAACTCAGCAAGAGTAAAAAAAAAAACTAACAAATCCTTTTCGGCAACCGTTAAAATGTGAAACTTCTCAAATTTCTCTAAATCTTGAAATGAACAGAAAGTACAACTTGTTTGTAAAATTTTTTATAAGAATAAATATGGAAAACATTTTAATGACTATGGAATCTGAAGTTCAGCTGCTCATTGAAAATACTAATATTTTCTTAAATTTTAGAAATCTGGAAAAAAACAAAATACTATATGCAATTTTGAAGAAATCAACAAGCTTTCATTAGAACATTGAAGTGAAAAGTGACACAGATTAGAATGAAATTAAAATTTGATAACGCATTTACAAATGGACACTTATGTGATTATAAAACATATAAAATATTAAGGTTTTAAAATGTTATAAATAAATGCATTATGAGGGAAAAGTAAAAAATTAAAAAAATGTAAAATATAACAGAAAAAAGATAATAACTCCATGCATCAACATTGCTTTAAATATACAATTTATTTAGCAGCTAAAATCCATAAAAGAGTGAATATAATACTTGCAATTATGATAAAATAAGAAAACTATAAGACAAGTTATAATACAACTAAATAAGCATTCATTAGGGTGCCACATCAGAGTGAGTTCAACCCATAAGACTGAACTGGATGGCCAACGTTATTAAAATTTAGGCTGGTACTCTGCAGAATTTAGAAGCCACACAGGTAGATCAGGGTAGCAAAAAAACCTAGCACCAATCCTGCAGTTATACTGTCTGTCTATGCGAAGAACAGTCGTGTCTGGTGGGTGGCGGTTGCTATAGAAACAGGGCTAGTATATTTCAAATAGGGGCGAACCAAGGGTTACTTTATTGTTATTTTGTTTTTGGCGACTGTTAGCTGAGGAAAAAAAGAGTTTATCATATGTCTTCAAGACACCCTTACGGAAAATGGTTCACGGCTCGTTTCTATGGCAACAGATAGCTGCAGACTAACTGGTGAGAGCTTTTCTTATGATAGACAGACTGTAATAACTTTGAAAAAAAAAATCTAATTCATTTAGTTCTATAAAAAAAGGCTACATCTTCTTGACAGCAACTATTAAGACAAACAGATTTTTTAACAGACATTAATCATAGCTTACAGGTCTGAATACAACAAAAGAAATATAAAGTAATATTGCTTCATTTTTTAATCTATCAAAAGGGAAGCAGTACTAGATATTACAACAAATAACTGAGTTCATAAGTGTTGTAATAATTGAAAGCATCCATATAACTAGATTTTTGAACCCTTGCTTACTAATTGCATTATTTCATATACCTAAAACTGTAAGTTTAACTATAAAAAAAAAAAAAAAAAAAAAAAAAAACTGTATTTATGTAACAATAATCCTATCTGTATATTGGTTAAGAATATAGCTCTCCTCATGTTCACATACATCGGCATTCATTCTTGAAACCTATTTTTGTTAAACATAAAAGTTGTTATACTATGAAGATGACTACTGCTTTATTTTACTAAGCAAATTATTTCTCTTCAAACATGTGTTATGACGTAGTATACTGTAGTGGTTACCTGATATAGCACATACATTTTGCTTCCAGTATAGATATAGTGAATCAAAATATTGCTATGATAAACACAGATTTTAACTTACCTCATTTTATTTCTCTCTTGAGCATCTAGTTCCTAAAAAATATATATATATATTGAGTGCTATGGTTATAGTTATCAGACAAAAGATTATTCATTAAAAATACAATACACATAAAATAAAATAAAAACTGTCTAACAGAATATTCAATTAAATGTTATTTCATTATGAAACAATATCACAAATCAGAAATTTCATGTTTATAAAAAACAGATATTCAAATGTTGTCAAGTTTATTAAGATAGTAAAAACACACCAAAAAATTAATAATAATGTTTAAAATTAACCAAATCAACTCACTCTGGTTAATTGTATTTCATGCATAAGATTAAGAAATAGTTCTTACTGCTGTTGAATTCACATCGTAGCACATATATATTTAAATTATCAATTAGTAACCTCTTAATACACTCAACTGAGTGCAGTAAACTAAATTAAAACTAAAACTTCTGCATGCCCGAGGAAATATACTCAGGAATTTCTTTCAGATATAAATACAACAGATTATATCTGATACGGCTTTGAGTTATGATAAAAAAATTAAAAGAGGTTCAGTTAAAATACAAAATAAAAAATTGGGGGAAAAAAAAAAAAAGAACCACTTTCTGAATTTTTATTAGCACATACAATGAATTTAACACAGTGAAAGCATATTAAAAGAAACCATATTCGTAATATATTGTTACGAAATGTATGTACAGGTGCGTAAGACGGCTTCCCCACAAAGCACTTTTAGGGTTGCCAAATCTGGCGAGAAATCGCCCATTTGGCGATATGCCATGGACGGATGGAGAACATTCTGGAATGAATTCTTACCGGTTTAGACCAGAATGTTCTCGAACACCAGCCAAAAGCTATATAGACCCTACTGGTATGCAGAGAATTAGTATCGACAGTGTGCCTCGTCAAGAGGGTGAGTTAGAGTGCCTCGTCTAGGGTGCGAGTTAGTTAGCATCGAGATGGTGTCTCGTCTAGCGAGTCAATCGAGTTGACAGCCAGGCAGCGAGTGCTGAGTGAGTCGTCGAGTGCACCGAAAGAGTCTTGTAGTGTATTGCGGTTAGTGCATCGTTGAGAGAGCGTGTTGAGCTCCGGGAATGACTGAACCGAAGAGTCGCAAGCTGTGCTCTGTGTGTCCTTGAGTGCATCGCAAGTTGTAGCGTGGAGAGTCTCGAGAGTATGTGGAGTTCCGAGAACGACCGAGCAGAGTCGGGAGCTGTACTCTAGTGCTTTGCCGTGAAGCTGTCTTTCCGTTATGGCCTGATAACCTGAAGGCTGTGTTGCTGATTGTTCCAGCGTGTTTATTGTAGTTCTTCGACGACTGTGTAAACGGGATTTTGGAGCTGTCCTGAGAACACTGGCCAATAAAGTGTTTCGATACTTCATCAAGTAGTAATGTCATTATTCACTCCAAATCCTCACGAACCCCGTACGAACGTGAAGGAAGAAAATAACGTAACATCTGATGTCAGGAAAGAAAAACACAACAATATTATTCCTATCTTAAAAATTAATTTGGTGAAATATCTGTATGTATAATATTACTAACAAATATTGTATTCCTTAAAATCTATTGCAATGAATTAGCAGTCACTCTTTCCAGTGAAAATTCTACCACAAGTGCATTTAGAAGCACTAACAACAAAATGATTAAGAAAAAAAAAATTTTTTTATTATCCTATATCAGAAAAAGATTTACAGTTTTTACAAAATATTTTACAAGCTATATACAATGCATTTTTGTAAAATTAATACATATATTAAAGATATGCATATATTACAGAAAATGATGACAACATTCTTCAAGAGAAACATTAAACTGAAATTTGAAATGAAAACATTGGATATTTGATGAGAAGTGAGCATTTAAAAAAATAATTTTTACCTACCCATGTGAAAAATACATGAACTTTTTCTTTCATAATTTGGTAACTAAAAATTACAAGGGTAACAATCATGCAAATTTAAAACAATATTGATCATATAGTAATTTATACTGGGTTACTGGAATAAGCTGACTGACAAAGGATTTTCCTTAAATTGTATCAAAGTTACTCAGATCTTTATATACATTAAATTTGGCATGAAATCCATGCTCAAGCACTTTCGGCTATTGCTTATGTAGCATCAGACATGGATTTTTGCTTATTTGCATGATATTTGATTAGCACTTACAGCAAAGAAGTGGCCAATAAAATAAAAATATCATCAATATCTTTATGAATTTGAACAATATTCACCTGGAATTTTAAACAGGTTGCCCTATATAGTTGGAAAACTGTTTATGATATAAAAATTTTCTGTCAAATTTCATATTTCAATAAATACTCACAGTTTTGATTTCAAATTTTAATTTAACATTTCTCTTGAACTAGCTACTTGCATGACCTGCTGCCTAAAATAATTATCATAAAAAGAGGAAAATACATATGATTTTAATGAATCTAGCTAGTGTAATTTCTTGAGTCTCTCTAGTAATTAATAATAACTCAGATGAAGAACAGCTTTTATTGCTTTTAAATTGTTTGGTTAGCAAATAACAAACAGATTAAATTTAAAAGCCAAATTAAATATCTCACACTTTGGCACACTGGTACATTGAACATAAAAATGCTTTATTTTGAGAAGTTGCAACACATTTCTTTTAAATTGCTGATTTTGTTTACCAAGTTTGAAAGACATATATGCCCTCTGCTAAGCAGCAAAACATTTCTTTCAAATTGCCGAGATTCTCATTAAATTTAAATTGAAAGCTTTGAGACTTTTTTTTTTTTTCTACATCAATTTATTGCTGATCTTCTAAATGCATTCACTGCTGAATTTTGACTGGAAAGAATGAAGTCAAGCTTGTCATTTACATGACCATTGTTATAGAGCAACAAATTATGTATTTCTCTGGGAATTCAAAATAAATAAATAATGTGTAAAATTCAAAATTTCCGATGACTTCTGGCTATATAGAATATCTATTAACACATAATAAAATTTCATAACTTTTTTAAAAGACCACAAACATAGCATTTTATATAACAAGAAGAAAAAGAAAACACTTTTACATTATCATCATAAATCTATAGTGACTATGCACTTTAGTCATATTATCTACTTAAAATACTGCATTTTTGTGTAACTGCATTGAATACTCAGTCACTCAAGTCTCTTGCATAATTATTTGTGATTTTATCTAACAATAAAAACATTTTATCAAGTATTTTTAAGATGCAAATTAAAAAAAAAAATAGTTAAAACACATACGCCAATGCTTTTAAACTATTCGAGCTAGTCAATCACTTTTATGAGAGTAAATTATTTGAATGAAAATATACAAAAATTAAATATGTAAGGAGCACACTTGAAACAAATTTTAAAATAAACTTATAAGTTCAAGCAAATATCAAAGAATTTTGTTTTTATAATTAATAAATCACTTAAAGCCTTGCCTGTATTTAAAAGGCTACCGGAAAAACTTCTGTCAAAACCTGCTTTTATATGAAAAGTACATTATTTTTAGGGCTTTTTTACTATGCTAAGTAGGACATTTTTTAAAATTAATCACAAAAAATTTTTATTTTCACACAATTTCTATAATGAAAATAAGGCATGACAAATATTTTTTCTAGACATAAATAATTATAAATAAGCTTTAACAAATCAATACTGGAAACATGAAAGAAAGGATAATTTTAATACCACTAATAGTACTTTACAATAAAACGGCAATGTCTGCAATAGTAATAATTATTTTTCATAGTTTTATCACCAGATTAAAAAATATTATAAAATTAATAAAGACTGCACAAAATATTTCATATTTCAGCAGAACTTTTATTTTCTGATACATTTACAATTTCAAAATATAACATTTTTCTTTTAAAAACAGTTACTGGACAGCTTATTAATTTATATTCAGAAATAAATGGAGCGGGGACTGATAATAAAGCTAAATGCCCTGTGCTCTCAAATAGAACAGAACATATCAACAAAAAATTACATCAAGCTTACAATGAAGTTCCCAACATAAGGAATTTTATTTTAAATTACTGAAACTACACTAATTTATATTTTAAAATACATAAGTTACTTTTGTAAGCAATGCTTGGGAAACATTATACTTCAAAACAAAGCAAATCTTAAAAATAAGTTTTTAATATTGTGGAATGGGATGAAAAAGCATAAAGAGACTAATGACAGATATAGGAGTTATGTTTTGCCAGTTAATAATATTGAAGTTGTGCAGCATTTTCAGAATTTATCACTGGGAAATTGCAACCTTTATCTGGCATAGATTTCAAATGAAAGAGCAAAACAATTAACCTTAAAGCACTTTCAGAGAAAATAATATATCTTCCTTTTCCAAGAGAAAATAATTATTCTATTCTGTTTGTATATTTTGTGTAAAGTCACTCTAAATACAATGGATACTTAGTGTCAACTATTTAGATACTGCAGTAAAAGAAAATTTATGGAGGAAAAGAAAAACTTGCAATCTGATCCTTTACATTTCAGTTTCAACTAATAACTTTGAAACACATGAACCAGCCTGATTACTAAAAGAGCTGTAAATTGGTACTCATACAGCCTTCATCAATTCTTCTCCTCTCATAGAAAGAAATACTTATTCTTACATATATACATGTGAATTATATACACATTATAAATATTCTGAATTCTAAAACTTAAATTTTATTGAATTACAAAACAACAGGAAATCATACAAATGATTTGCTTCCCTTTTTCAATCTAGAAAGAAATTTTTACTATTTCATTATTTTTTTAAAGAAATATACAGGGTGTCTATAACTAAAGAACCCTATTTCAAAGCTGCCTACAAGCGAAACCAGTGATCAGAAAATTGTGAAATTTTGTGGCAGACTTAATGAAGGTATGAGAATGTCTTTCAGTGGGGGGGGGGAATTAGTTACAAATAGCACCACCAGAGGGCACTTTACTTTGAAAAACCTGCAGCAAAAATATAAACCTTTGTCAATGTCATGCAGCAACTGTTGCAAAAACTAGAAACATTCACAGAGACTTTGTT